TGTGCTGATTTGCTTGCTTTTGCGTATAATTATGGCTGACCTCATGGGTGTCTCTCTTTCTTTTTTTCTAAGTCTTGTCTAGTCAATAATCAAGCCTCACAATCTTCAATTTGAATCTCCATTTCTCCACGAGTTTTTATATGAAAATTCGTGCATGCTTTTTTATAACTTTCAATAGGTGATCTTTGGGGAAGAAAGACGTCGGAAAATTTTGCCATTGGAACAAAAATAACATGTCTATTTATTATTTTTTTATAACACATCAGGCAATCAAAGCAACAGACAAGTAGGTATATGTAGGAAAATAAAATCGATCCCCCATACTTTTAATTTAATAATTAAAAACGTTTGGAGATAAAATGACTTGAATCGAATTAAAATTTTTTTTATTTATATTAAAATGTTATTCTTATGATGTAACAAAAAAATATAAGAAAATAAAATCATGTGATTCTTCTAGATTTGTTTGGTAAATTTCATCCAAACAAAGAAGATTGCTACTTTAATCTTCTCGCTGTTAAATCGATATGATCACCAGAAAGGTGTCAAGGAGGAAGTAGGAATTGCATTTAATCCGAAGATGGATCCATCAGAGGAGGAAGGTACAGGGGAGGCTTTATCCATCAAATATCTGATGTATCTATCATCATTATTCAAAAATAAGTTTATTATGATTTGACATTTAAAGGCGAAAAAATCATTACGGATGTTTCATTCGTGAAATTTTAAATTAAAAAAAAAATAATTTTTGACAAAATATAATATTTGAGATTTTTTTAAATATATTTCGTGTTAAATTTATTTATTTAATTAAAAAATTATACGTCTATTAATTTTTAAATAATTATCGTAATCTTTTTTACTATTTATGATGATAATTTTTTATTAATTTTTAGTAATAATAAATATTCAAAAAATAAATGATGCTTTTAATGATAAAAAAAATAAATATTTTATTTGATTATTATTTTTATTTACAAAATATCATTAATAAAAAAAATGAGAATTATTTGAAGATATTTTTGATTGAAAAATATTTTAAATAATCTACTTTAAAAAAATATGAATGAATTATTTAAAATATTTTTAATCAAAAAAATACTTTAAATAAAATACTTTAAATAATTTCAATATAAAAAATAAAAAAATTATTTAAAGTATTTTTTTTTAAATGTCTTAAATAATTTTTTTAAAAAAATTATGAATTATTTAAAACGTTTTTGGTTTTAAAACGTCCTAAATAATTATCTTATTTTTTTAAACTTAATTATTTAAAGTATTTTTTAATAAAAATATCTTAAATAATAATTTTTAAAAAATATTAAAAATTATTTAAGCGTTTTTGGAAAACGCTTTAAATAATTTTGATGAATAAATATTTTTGATTGAAAAATATTTTAAATAATCTATTTTAAAAAATATGAATGGATTATTTAAAATATTTTTAATCAAAAAAATACTTTAAATAATTTCAATATAAAAAATAAAAAAATTATTCAAAGTATTTTTTAATAAAAAAATATCTTAAATAATTTTTTTAAAAAAATTATGAATTATTTAAAACGTTTTTGATTTGAAAACGACCTAAATAATTATCTTATATTTTTAAACTTAATTATTTAAAGTATTTTTTAATAAAAATATCTTAAATAATAATTTTTAAAAAATATTAAAAGTTATTTAAACGTTTTTGGAAAACGCTTTAAATAATCTTCAATGAATAAAAATTTTTTTGCAACAAAAATACACAATTAAGTTGCAATCATTTTTAGACATTTTAAAAGGCTGACGATTATTTTTTTTTTTTCAGATCAAATTTAAAAGTAACGAAATTTTTTTTTTTTTAATTTTAGAATACCACAAAAAAATGTAAGTTTTTGATTTTAAAATTTTAGATATCGTTGAAAATCTATCACTTTCTCTCGTAATCGAGTTATCCTAAATTAAATATGAAAATCAAATATTCACTATTAAAATTAACCAAAAAAACAAATTGTGAATTTTTCGAACTAACCATCGTAAAGAGAGGTTCACTGGCAAATACCTTCAAGTTTTAACAAGATTGTTTGAATCCAGGAACGACCTTGACTTGGTAGCCGTTGGTGTTCAAACTTGAAATTTTCTAGGTTTTCATGATAATTGTAGAAGACCACTCCAGTAGGAAATCAGTGCTCATTGAACCTTCCATTATTTACTATAGGCTACAGCAAACTGATACATTCAACTATGGTTGCCAGTTTGCGAAAAATGAGTTATAGTGAAGTTGTGGAAGGGCTAGATATTAGTCATGGCAGGATTAAACTGTTACAGCTTGCAAACGAAGGGATTTAACCTTTGTTCTAAGCAAGTCATTCCACAATTCCCAGCTGAAGCCAATGCTACAAGGACATTTGGGAAGTGAAAAATACAAGTGAAAGAGGGAAATTGCATGTACTGTTGGCTTGACCCAAAGATATCTGATAAACTAATAATGGCAGATATGCTAATAGATAAGGGTACGGGTCACGAGGATTGATTTGAGTGGGTGTTGAGAGGATGAAGATGATGAGTTCAAAATCCTAATCAAAAGGTGTGTGATGTGAGCCAGATGTGTTAGTTGGGTTCACTGTGTTTGACAAATAAGTGAGGACACATGGTGAAGGGCAGGTAGTGTACCCAAAATGACTTGGCTTGAACCAACAGGCACCAACGGGAAGCTGTTGAAATGGGTTGATGGAGATTCTGGCGTTTTAAGCGGCAATCCCTCTGCAAGTCGAATAAACCATACGAGCTCCAAAGGACAAGGACAGTGGTTTTATTGGTTGAAAACTTGAAAGTTAGAAGGCGGAAGCCAATTACGAAGAAGAAATGACTCTGGTGCTAGGATAGATCATTTTACCTCTATCTACAGTTCACATTGAGGACTAAAGAACAGCTCCTAGCACTTTGACAACATGTTCCTTTTAGAATCAAACCTTCTTTCAGCGCATTTTGTTAGTGCCAATTCATCAATCAACGGACCTTATCCTTTCAGATTTAGCATCTGCATGCGCGTATTTTTCTGATAGAGAAAGGTTAAAGATATGAAAGGATTAGTCAACACAACTTCATTCCATTAAAGTACCAAAATGTCTTTCATTTGACAGCATGAAACAGTAACAAATTGCAGAGACCTTTTGAGTTTGAATAATCTGCCGTGTAACTTTAAAAGTCTTATTGTGGGAAAGAAACATGGTAATAGAAGAAAATCCTTACAGAAATTTCTAGTTTTCTTTTCTTTCCATTGTTTTATCTCATAGAACATGTTGCAATCACTCCACTCTCAAGAAACAGACCATGTCCAAGTAAGCAAGATGTCACAGTTATCTTAATCAACTAGGATGGTGTCTCGCTGGATTTATAGCAGCAAGATATCACAAACACCTAAATGAAAGATGATGTTAGATCTTTCAATGTGGTCAGCCTATTCTGTGGCTCTAACCTTAATAGCTGCAGTCATGTATCATACTTGTTTGGAACGACAAAGGTGGAGAAATCCAAAGCCTCAACAATCGATGGATCCAGAACCAAGTCATCAACCATTTTCACACTTTGCATGGCCAATAAAAAATCTCAGAGCTCATATCCACACCACATCCATCACATGCTCATCTGAACAACCTTTCCAACCAATAATACTACCATTATGATATCAATCAACAAATCTTCTGGTAGACTTGACAATAGCGCAGAACCAGAATATCTAAAGTTCTTCATAATACTATGTAAATTAGCTGGTAATACTTTTGGTGTCAATTAGCCTCTGATATGAGGACCAAGTGATTTGCAATAATTCTGCAGCTGTTCCATCTCATATCTCCATATTAGTTATATCAATAAGAACCCTGACCGGTTTAAATTTGAGACCTCAATTTTCCATTTGAAATAGAGGCTACATTTCTCCATGATTAATTAATGGAAAAGTAAAGATTAGACTTTGTTTGGAAATTTAAGTGCGATTTCATGCACAATCCTACATTCCTACTTATGATTTGAACCTGTAGATGATTAAAATGTAGCCATAAGTAATATTGGTAATGGCCCTGCCCGAGTGTCAATGTGCTAAAGTTTAATGTGGATGGGGCAGCCAGGGGAAAACCAGGGCTCGGCTGGATGTGAAGGTGTCAAAAGGGATTGTACAGGAAATATTAGAGGTTTGTTCTATGGTCCACTTGGTGAAAAAGAGTCGAATATCGCAGAGATCTTGGCTATTAATACAACATTTGAGGATTTTCAGTTTCACATTGGATCAAAATGAATGCTTTAATTATTGAATCAGATTCAAAGGTGGCTGTTAGCTTGATGTGCAACAAGGCATCGCTACCTTGGGAATCATGGAAAATCTTTGAAGATATTGACAAATTCTGTTAAGTAATTGGAATTGTGGATTTTGTTGGTATCTACAAGGAAGAAAACAATATGGCGGATTCCCTGGCTAAAATGGGAGTGGATTTGCTCTTCCTTATTTCAAGCTTGGCTGTAATATGTTTTCTGGTTATGCTGTTTTGGGTGGTTCATATTTTTGTTCTTTCAAGTAACCTGCTATTTCAAGCACAGGGACCCTGTTCTGTGCAGAGATGTGTGTCCATGTATTGAAATCCTTGCATTAATGAAATCAATTATTGGCTGAGAAAAAAAAATTCATAACCTACAGATCAAAACAATTTGCAGATGGAAAAAGGTCAGATCAGAACAAATTGCAATAAAATCGGTAGCTTGTCCATTGGAATTTTAGCTCCTTATCTCTTACCCCTTTATGTACTGTTTGACAACATTGACAAAAAATTTGATACGAAACAAGCCCCAATGAAAATTGCACTTGGGCATAATTTAAATGAAGATGCTTATAATTCAAGATTAGGTCTATTTAAGTTTTAACTAAGCACTCAACCAAAATCTTTAGCAGCTTGAACTTATAAACTCTAACTACTTAAGCTAAGAGCAGACTTGCAAACAAGTGCCATTTTGCAAAGTCCATCAGTTTCAGCATTAAAAAGAAAACTAGAGACATTAAGGAACTTTTCAGGAATAGCTAATTATATCCAACCAATTTAATATACAATTTATAGAAATGTACATTCAATATTGTCTCATTCAACAAACACATAAAATTGCAACACCTTTAAAACATTTAATCCATAAAAAAAAAAAAAGTGATACAATTTGGAGAAGAAGAAGAAGAAGAACATTACCAATAAAGCATAGCCTTTTTCCCTTCCCTCCTTGAGAATCCAACCAGTCTCAGTCATTTTTTCTTATTAATCCCATAACTCCCATCTCTTTGCAAGCTCATATCATAAGCCTCAGACATCAAGTTGCTCCTTTTATCATAAACCTCAGATTTCAAGTTATTTCTTTTATCATAAGCCTCAGATTTCAAATTATTTCTATTACAATAAGGCTCGGACTTCAAATTACTTGTCTTTCCATTAAAACTACTCTCCCTAGAAGTATCCAATCGTCTCCTAATTCCTTTCCTCCTCCATTTAACACCGTTCTTTTTACCATTTCTCTCTGAAATACCATCTTCAGTCTCAGTCTCCTCTGTCTTATTTTCACTCAAAGGCTTAGTATTTTCATCTCTCTCTCTACTTCTCAAATACGGTTTAGCACTATGAACAACCCCTTTAGGGAAAAACCTGGCAGAAGGCAACTCATCAACAGTATCAAACAGCTGAGGCCCATCTCTGTCACTCCACATATCGAAACCGCCAGGTTTTTGGAACCTGTCAGCCAAAACTTTAACTTGCTCATCAGGTGAAACGGAAAACAAGTTGGGTGCTTTTTCAACGACTTCCCAAGGACGTTCAAGTTCGGAGACGGCGGCTTTGAGCTCAGCTCTTTTGCGCATTTCATAGATGTGACGTTCACGGGCAAGTCGGGCTTTGAGGAGTTGCTTGGCTTTCTTGGCTTGCATGCGTTTCCATTGCCATTTGGAGACTCCACCTGGGTAAGTTCTAGGGCCACCTCCCATGCGTATTATGGTGTTGGGAGGCGTTGGCTTGTGGAGCGAGAGGCCGGAGAGTTTTGTGTGGAGGAAAAGGGAAGTTGGGGAAAGGAGGGATTTTGAGAAGGACAAGTTTTGAGATGGAACTGAGATTGAGACAGGCATTTTCAGGATTGCAGACATTGAATTTGAAGAAACAAAAAGAGGAAAAGAACTCGTTTTGGCCTTGAGGGGTTTCCAGAGAATCAGGGAAGAAATTGGCAAACGCTGCCTGAAGCCTGTTAGATGGTGGAGCTTGTGGTTTTGGGTCTCTTGGAATGACTAGGGATTATCCATGATAATCAGGGCAGGGTTGTAATACTCCAATATTAAATTTTTAGTATATTTAGAATATGTACCTACCACCTCCGGTAAACAACCAGTGGTCTAGTGGTAGAATAGTACCCTACCACATTACAGACCCGGGTTCGATTCCAGGCTGGTTCAAGGTTATATTTTTAAACTCTACAGGCTGCCATTCTTTTACATTTATCTCCCTTGTATTAGATTAATTGGATTTGGCAGCAGTAATCATTTTGTTTTGCGTGAGATCTTATTAATGAATTTATATTTGATGGCGATGTATATTAATAAGAAATTTTTAAAATAAATTCAAATTTTTTGTGTATTTATTTTTATGGTTAGTAAAAATTTTTGTTTGATTATTAATTAGAAGCCATAATTTTATTCAAGCATATAAAATTTATATACTAATAATATATTAAATATAAATTTAATATTAATTATCATCAAAGTATTATTGAAAATGTAGCCTTCGGTATAAAGCGATTTATTATTGGTGACTAAATTATTATGTTTGATAATCATTTAGTGATTTTATATGATAATGATCTCAAATCATCAAAAGTGATTAAATTATTATTTTTGAAAGTGATCTAATTTTTATATAAAGAAGTGAAAAACTTTTATTATAAAGATAAAGTGATATGTAAAATTAATAATAATTAATATTATCCATTGAATATTTGAATTAAAAATTTGTTTCTTTTTAAAATTAGTTATAATTATTTTTTATTATAATTTTTATATTTTTAAATTAATATTCATTATAATAAATTTAAAAATATTTTGTGTGGTTTTTTATTTTTTAATATATTTATAATATAATCTTTTGATTTTAAAATATTAGTTTTATTTTCTCCTTCTTCTAATATTTTTAACATAATTTATACTATAAAACTAATTTATTATCAATAACTATATTTAAATTTAATAATTTAATAATATTTATTATTGAATTAAATAAAATATTACTAATATTTTATTTACAAATTAGTATTTTTAAATAATATTTAAAATTATTAATTTGTGTAACTATTGTAATATACATGGTTATTTCAATACTTTTAAACAAAATAATATTTGATTTTTAGTAATATCAAACACAATCATTTTTAATCAAATAAAATGATTTCAGATCATGAGTGATAAAATTATCTTAATAATAAAATTATCTCAATAAATAAATTATTATGATAATTTTAAAAATGATACCAAATATTTAAGTATACAAATACACAGGATTGTGAATGCCAACTTGTGTTTATAAAATAAAGAAAATTACATAAATAGAAAATGAATTGCAAGTTACTTGCATTAGCGCAAATTATGTGAATCAAAATTTTCGTTTATTATTTATTGTTCTTAAATCTACTTTTAATAAAAGTACATGAAATAAATTCATTAAAATTGATTGGGTAAAAAATTCATTAAAATTTAAATAAAAGAAATAAAACAACAAAATAAAAATAGGAGATGGATCAAATCCACACTTCACCAGTAAACAAGATTTTGGTTCGTTTATTGATTCTGCTTGCCGCTTAAGCTAAACTTTATAAACCTCTGAGCTCTGACACACCAAAATTCCAAACTGAACCGCGAAGCCTCTCTTTTTTCTTGTTAACTGGTTGGTTTTTGTTTCTGTCTTGAGTTTGGTTTTATTTGTTAAATGGATTTCAGAGGTGGTTTTGGTGGTGGTTACATGCATCTAGGTTTGTAACATTTGTCTTGTCCTTTTGGTGAATTATGTCATAATCCTTCTGTGACTTAATTATCTATTATAATGTGGAAGCAGGACCCAATGATTCTCGCTGGTTCAGTGGAGAGCGTGGTTCCCCTGGAGAACGAGTTATATATTATAGTGTGGAAGCAGGACCAAATGATTCTCGCTGGTTCAGTGGAGAGCGTAGTTTCCCCGAAGAACAAGCGTGAGCTTTCTCTCTATGTTTGTGCATGCTACTTCCTTTATACTAGAGATGTTTTTTGGGGTTGATTGTTTGAAACAGGTATATTCCTCCTGGTGCACGTTTTGATCCATATGGCCCACCTGGCGCTCGTGGTTTTGAGCGTAATCGATTTGTCAGGTAGATGAAAACTTGCAATTACTTTTTTGGATCCACTTGGTTGATTTCTACGCACTTACGATATAAGCAATAACGTGACACCCTAGTTTTTCTTGATCGACACTGCGTTGATTTCCTTCAAATTTTTTTGTTTTTCAATCTTTAGGGGTGTCCAGGTTAACATTTTCGTTTAAATTTCGTTATTTTTTAATTTTATGGACACCTCTCACAGATTTAGGCAAGGCTCACAGCAGCTTTTTGTCATTTTGTGATTTGCTTAAGTGCCTTTAGAGAGCAACTTATTTGCATATTCCAATGGAAGAACAAGAGTATTATTGCTCTGATATTAACTGTTAGTATTAAAACCTTAAGAAAGATTGGGCTAGTGTTATAAACTTATCTCCAGTGCCTTTTGTCAGCTTCGAGGACGACTAAGCTTAATTGTTCTCATAATCCTTCTTTAGGAAGAGGCTCAGAGCATCCCTAGTGCTTTTTATAAGGATTCTTTATTCAACAATCATTCCCAAACTTCTGTAGCCTATATGAAGCAAGCCTACACTGGGTAGAGAAGATCCTTATTCTTTCTCTTTATGAATTCCTTGATTTAGTAGCCTTGGCCCATTCTCCTTTGCTTGTATTCCGGATGCTCATTCTCCGTCCAGCAAAGTTCAGCAGCGCCTTCCTACAAGTTGATGTTAAAAATGTATTATGAAAGGAAAAGAACGAACAAAAAAAAAAAAAAAGGAAATATTAGTATGAGATCATTATCAATAGATTTTTTAAATTTTTTTAGTTGTTCAATGAATTTTTCCATGTGTATGGGTCAATTAAGTGTCCACATATCTCCATTATCTTCTTTCCAATAGCTCGTGCTCATCTAAATTATAAGGCTTGCTTTACAGGGACAGGGTAGTCATTCCTCCGATTAATCCATTTCGTGGTAGTGATGCTTTTCCTGGGCCTGCTGCTGGAGTGTATCCTGTCAGGTACTTCAGTTCCAAATCTGTGTTTTAGTGGTTACTGCTTGTTAACTGGTTGGTTTTAGTTTCTGACTTGAGTTTGTTTTTATTTGTTAAATGGCTTTCAGGCGTGATTCTGGTGGTGGTGACATGCTTATAGGTTTGTAACATTTGTCTTGTCCTTTTGGTGCATTATGTCATAATCCTTCTGCGACTTAATTATATATTATAATGTGGAAGCAGGACCAAATGATCCTCGCTGGTTCAGTGGAGAGCATGGTTCCCCTGGAGAACAAGCGTGAGCTTTCTCTCTATGTTTTTGCATGCTACTTCCTTTATACTATATATATTTTATTTTGGGTGGATTGTTTGAAACAGGGGTATTCCTCCTGGTGCACGTTTTGATCCATTTGGCCCACCTGGTGTTCCTGGTTTTGAGCCTTATCGATTTGTCAGGTAGATGAAAACTTGCAATTACTTTTTTGGATCCACAGGGTTGATTTCTATGCACTTACGATATCAGCAATAACATGACACCTAATTTGCCTTGTTTTCTCTTGCAGAAACCGACGACGGAGACCTGGAGCTGGTACTCATCCCGACCTGGAGCATTTTGGAGATGGTTCAAATGCATCTGAAGGTTATGAAAGGGTCTTTTGGCGCTCTCTTTGAGTACGTTGATGGAGAAGGATCTAAAGATTGTACTTAAAACGTGTAATACAAGTTACCTAGCTTTGCAACCTGAATTTTTAACATGTTAATGGTTTTTGCTCATGTTTTTGAATCTATTTGGTCGTTTACTATTTCTTTTGGCCGTTTCAAATCAATCACAATCTCGCCTTTCAGGTTATAGATCTGATAGTAATATGAACAATTCGAGTAATGCTAACAAAGTAAAAAATTTCACCCCTGAATATTTTATTCCGTTCATTATAAAATTGCGGAGACGGTAAGAAAGAAGAATGCAATGAGTTTTAATTTTTATTTAATATTAAAATAAATAAACTAATAAAGAAATGAATAAACAATCAGCAACCAAAACTCCTTACAGTCAAGTCCCCGTCCAATCAGTTTTCAGTCTGGATACTTGGGTGGTTGGAACTGTTCCGGGGGTTCAACGACCGAATAAAGTTGCAACCATCCCTGGTTCCCCCCTACCCTGTTTTCATCCTTTTGAATCAAAGTTACTTAGGAAAGGATATAGTTATGTTCGTTCATGTTGAAGTGATAAAACTCTTATGTTTTTTTTTTTTTTTCGTGGTTTACACGATGCTGTTCAAGTGCTCGGCGATTCAATTAAAATTATGTCTTTAAATGTTCCATAACTCTAAAGTTACGGGACATTTTGTTTTGAAATTGTGGAACGTGCTTGATGTCATGAATTTAAAAAAGAATTTTGAATCTCACATCGATTATAAATTAGAGTTGGTCATGAAATATAAGGGTTTACACCATCATCTCTTTGGAAAGTGACTTTTGTGAGATAAAATCGTAAGGTTAGAAGAACTAAAGTGGACAATATCTCACAAAAATGTGACTATAATAGTTAGGCTAATCTAGAATACCAGAAGAGTCTATGCCTAGGTCTTGGAGCTGCATGAGTCTAGAGGTTTAGTCTCGACCTGTAACAAGAAGTATTAGAGTCAGCTCTAGGGGTACTAACGATGTGCTACTGAGGACGGTGTACTTTTGTTGGAGTAAGGGAAGATGTCACATACCTAAAAAGGAGTCTTGAATCTTACATCGGTCGTGTACTATAGTTGGTCATGAGATATAAGTGTTCACACCACTATCTTAAGATATAAGGGTTCACACCACCATCTCTTTGGGAGGCACCTTTTGTGAGACAAAATCGTAAGACTAAAGGGGTTAGAGCGGACAATATCTCATAAGGCTAGAGGGACTAGACCTTTTGTCCGAGTCTTGAAGTCGCACAAGCCTAGAGGTTAAGTCTCGACCTATGACAAGTGATATTAAAGCAAGCCCTGAACCGTTCAACTCATGTCAAGCTCCTTGAAAGAGGTAGGCAGGGTGGTCAACTTTCATGACGAAGGTGTCACGAGGTTGGGTGAGGGAGAATGTCACGCCAAGTGCTCCAATGAGGAGTAGACAGAGTACTCTAATCTCACATCAGACATGAAAAGAAGGTCATTAGGGTATAAAAGAGTTCACACCATTTCTTTCTTGTGAGGTATCTTTTGTGGGATAAAATCATGAGGCTAGAGGGATCAGAGCAAACAATACCTCACAAAAGTGTGAACTGTGACAATTAGGCTGATCCGAGATGTTGGATGAGTGCATACCCAGATCTTAAAGCTGCATGAGCTTAGGGGTTAGTATTGCATTGTCACGAGCTCCGACCTTAGACTCAAAATTCGTGCGGCCTTAGACTTGGAATCACCTCATTCTAGCAGAATACACAAGTTGGAGAGAAACAGAAAAATAATGAAATTACTGGAAATATACTCTGTATTACTGAAACAAAAATGTGTATGATGATGTACAAATGAAGGTAGAGCAACCCTTTATTTATAGTTGAGGCTTCTAGTTACATTTATGGCTAAATCCCTAGAATCAAGGTTAAAATCAAAGAATTACAAATATTTACAATCAATCAAGATTCTATCTCTTGAATTATAGAGTCGGCTCTTGTTGATTTTATGGCTAAATCCCTAGAATCAAGACTAAAATCAAGGAATTACAAATATTACAATCAATTAAGATTTTATCTTCTGAATTATAGGATCAACCGGATCTACCAGAAGACTCTTACTGATCCTGAGAGCTTCTAAAAGATCCTTTTTACGTATCTCTCACCTTGGACCCTTCTAAATGTGGTATGGGCATCATGCAGGCCAAACTTTGACCTTATGGGCTGGCTTACCGACTGTGTGGGTGTTCTAGCCTTCCCTCTAAGGCCTTGCACGCAAACTCTTGTTAGTGCTCTTGGTGTGCGGGCTTTAACTTCAGGTACGCGTACTGGTGCGCCTGATGTGCATAGTGCGCCCGTCCAGGGTATGACATTCTCCCTCACCTGATTGCACAACACCTTTGTTGCATCTTCTGTATGGTACTACCTGATCTGGTCCTCAAACTGCCATAAGTCATTTGCTGGTTCCTAGTTCACCTCACTATCTAGAAGTCTCTTTCAGTACACCAAGTACTCTTGTCTTGGTTAGTAGTTCTTCTGTCTCACCTCTCGATCAATTATGATGCTGTAGACCTTCTTTTCATATAAGGCCCTTGCTTTTAATGGTGCACGCTTAGATTTTTTTCATCTTGGATCTCTTTCTTTCTCATGGAACGGCTTGAACATGCTTACATAGAACACTAAATGTACCTTCAACTTAGGTGGCATATCCAGTTTGTAGGCAACCTTACCTACCCTCTTGATTACTCGAAAAGGTCCCTTATACCTCTAGACTAAGCTTTTGCGTAGCCCTTTATGGTGTACAATGGGATGCAGCTTCACCAACACCAAGTTTCCAACCTGAAACTGTACGTCTCGCCTCTTTTGGTCTGCTCATTTCTTCGACCTCTTTGTTGCCTTATGTAGATAGACTCTAACTAAGTCAACCTGCTTCTGCCAAGCCTTGGTAAACTTGTATGCTACCGAATTCGACCTTGTATAACTTGTAGCAATCGAATAGGGTGTTAGTGGTTGTTGACCTGTTACAACCTCAAATGGGCTTTGGTTTGTTGCCTTGCTCTTTTACAAGTTGTAAGAAAACTGCGTAACATCTAGCAGCTTTGGTCAGTCTCTTTACGTGGCATTCGCATAGTGCCTGAGGTAGACCTCTAATAGTCAATTCACACACTCAGTTTGCCTATCGATTTACGGATGCATGCTAGTGAAAAAGTTTAAGTCTGACCCCAACAGCTTGAACAACTCAATCCAGAACTTGCCTATGAAATGTCATCTCGATCACTAACAATGATCCTCGACACTCCTCTATACTTAACCACGTTCTTCAAGAACAATCGAGCTACCTCATCGGCTGGGCATTCCTTGGTTGCTGGAATGAAAACTCTATACTTGGAAAACCTGTCCACCACTACTATGATGCTTTTGAATCCCTTTGCCTTGGGTAGACCGACTATAAAGTCTAGAAAAACACTTTCACATGGTCGTTCTGGCACTGACAATGGCTCCAAGAGACCACCTGATTTCTTGAGCTCCACTTTGTCCTATTGGCACACAAGACAAGTCTTCACATATGCTTTCACATCGTCTCTCATGTGCGGTTAGTAGTACCAATCCTCTATCAACATCAAGGTACGACTCACTCCTAGATGTCTAGCTCACATTGAGTTATGACATTCTTGTAAAACTTTCTTACGGAGCTTTCTATGCTACGACATAAATAGTCTACTACCCCTAGTGTACAATAAACCATCATGCATCCAAAATCGCATAATCTTACTTTATTGGGCATACTCTATAAGAGCCTTGGCTGTAGGATCATGCACAAGTCTCTCATTGATACGTGACACCAGTGACTCCTTTAGTTGTTTAATGGCAACAAGGTTAACCTTCTTGCTCAAGATGTCTGCCATTAAGTTCGCCCGTTCTGGCTTGTACTCATCTAAAAATTAAATTTCATAAAAAAATCTTACCATCTCTCTTACTTAAAAGACAGCTTCTTCTGTGTCTAGAAGTAGCTGGTCGCCACATTGTCCTTTCTCACCACGAACCTCGACCCCAACAGGTAATTGCACACCAAGTGCATAAGCAGTGCACTATTACAATCATCTCTTTCTCATGGATTATGTACTTAACGCTCAGTCTCGTTCAACTTTTACTCTCGAACATGACTGAATGTCCCTTTTGCATCAACATACCCCCTATGGCAAAGTCTGATGCATCCGTATGCACCTCATATAACTTGACATGGTCTGACAAGGCTAAGACTAGCTCTTTGATCACATCTTGCTTCAACTTGTCAAAGGCTTTTTGGCACCCTGTACTCTACTTCCATGCTCTCTCTTTCTTAAGTAAATCAGTCAATGGTATGGCTATGGTTGAATGACCCTTAATGAAGCACATGTAGTAGTTAACTAGCCTAAGGAATGACCTCAACTCAGTGACCTTGGCTGACGATTCTCACTCCAGAATGGTACACACTTTATCTTCATCCATGCGTATCCTGCCACTTTTCACTATGTGACATAGGAATGAGATCTCTTTTTGGGCAAACGAGCACTTCTCTCTCTTGACAAATAGCTTGTGTGCCCATAACACCTCGAACATCTACCTAAAATGGTCTACATGCTCTCTTAAAATCTGGCTATAGATCACAATGTCATTCAAATAAATCATAATAAATCGATCAAGAAACGATTGAAGTACCTTGTTCATAAGGGTATAAAATATTACTGAGGTATTCGTGAGTTCGAATGGCATGACTAAGAACTTATACGAACCATACCGAGTGACATATATTATCTTGGGCTCATCTTTCTTTGCGATCTTGACTTAGTAGTAGCCTAACCTCAAATCTAGCTTGGTGAACCACCTTGCTCTCCTAAGTTGGTCGAACAAGTTCGTAATGAGTGAGATAAGATACTTGTTCTTGACAGTCAGCATGTTCAAAACTTGATGGTCTATACATAACCACAACGACCTATCATGCTTGTATTGGAATAGAATCGATGCATCATATGGTGCCTTCGATAGTCTGATAAACTAGCATCAACTAACTTTTTGAGCTACTTCTTCAACTCTTTCAACTCTGGTGGAGACATTTGGTAAGAGGCTCTAACTGGTGGCTTGGCTTCAGGCATCAGCTCGATCTTATGGTCCACCTTTCTCTTAAGTGGTAGCTAACTAGGTAGCTTTATCGGTATCACATCACTAAAGACTTCGCACATTTAGCACTTTCAAAGGTGATTCGATCTCCTTCTCTCTTGGTTCCTCATACTTCAGGGCTACCAAGAAGGTGTCTTCTTCTTTGCTTATCGTCTTGGTA